CGCTTTTTCCATACTCACCATGTACAGCATGAATAACAGCGGGGACAAAGGACATCCCTGTCTCAGACCCCTGCTAACCTCAACGTTCTCTTTGCTACGCATTCCTTCCCACTCTATGCAAACTGATTTTCTCGGTATATCTCCCTCAAAAGCTGTATACAGTCGTCGCCCATGCCCATTCCTTTCAATATATCCCACAAAATTTCCTGATTAACGTTGTCGTATGCCCCAGTCAAAAGCCGCAAGCGCGCCCCCTCTCGGCGGTGCCGTCTGACAACGGCACCGACGCTGTCAATGTTGGCGTGATCTGCATGGTGCCGGGTGTTTTTTAATGTCTTCAACTCAGTCATCGCTTTCCCTGTGAGCTACACAGCTCACATGTGTCATGTGACGGTTCTTGAATGTGAGAAAACGTGCCTCGCTGCTTTGTGACTGGTTGCCGAAGTGGGTACGATTCGACGAAGTCCGCGGCCGAAAAGAGACATTTTTTCAAGCCTCCCGCTGACGAGGTGCGCCTTCAGAGATTTCAACCATAAATTAGAAAGCAAGGAAAAGGTGGCTGTAGCAAACAAAAAAGCACGTCTCCTGTAACTCTGGCTCTTGCCTTTGAAGAAAAGTGGCTTCCAGTTTGTTTGTTTCAGTGTTCAGTAAATTGTGTTTAATTTGACTTTGTTCAGTGTTCAATAAATTGTGTTTAATTTGACTTTGTGTTCTCGTCATCTCGTGCATTTTATAGCCTTAAAAAGGCCAAATTTTTATTGAAGTAGTTCGGTATCTTTCTATGCTATGCACTTCGATTCAGGTGCACGTTAGAGAAACCCCAGGTGGTTAAAATTTCCAAAGCCCTTCACTACGACGTGCCTCATAATCATATCGTGGTTTTGGCCCGTAGAACCTTCGATATTATTGTACGATGAGCCACGCACTACAGCCATCTAATGACGCCGGATATGTTAAAGTGTAAAGCCCAGAACGACTTGTTCGTTCCAGATAACTGAATCGTATGATTCGCATTATTTTAGAAGAAAGATACCGAACTACTTCAATAAAAATTTGGCCTTTTTAAAAGGCTGTAAAATGCACGAGATGACGAGAACACAAAGTCAAATTAAACACAATTTATTGAACACTGAACAAAGTCAAATTAAACACAATTTACTGAACACTGAAACAAACAAACTGGAAGCCACTTTTCTTCAAAGGCAAGAGCCAGAGTTACAGGAGACGTGCTTTTTTTGTTTGCTACAGCCACCTTTTCCTTGCTTTCTAATTTATGGTTGAAATCTCTGAGGGCGCACCTCGTCAGCGGGAGGCTTGAAAAAATGTCTCTTTTCGACCGCGGACTTCGTCGAATCGTACCCACTTCGGCAACCAGTCACAAAGCAGCGAGGCATGTTTTCTCACATTCAAGAACCGTCACATGACACATGTGAGCTGTGTAGCTCACAGGGAAAGCGATGACTGAGTTGAAGACATTAAAAAACACCCGGCACCATGCAGATCACGCCAACGCTGACAGCGTCGGTGCCGTTGTCAGACGGCACCGCCGAGAGGGGGCGCGCTTGCGGCTTTTTGACCGGTACAGGGAAGGGTGACACGTTGGGTGACACTCGCGGCACCGCAGTTTGCAAACTGAAAAAAGTATCTAGTAACGTTGCTTGAAAGCGTTATGTTGACTACGAGAAAAGCGAAATTACATTCCACACAAATACTGATATGCGTCCACCACATTTTGAAGACTATACAGTTCACTAGCGTTTTTGAGGATCATTCGAAAACACCAGTTTGAACCCGAATAATTAACTGCAAGAATGCACGCGTTTTCTCTTATCAGCTGTAAGTATACTCTTGATACAAACGTGCTCGAAAGGTGATTAAAGAAATAAATAAAACATGTTTGGGCACTTGCGCAATATAGTTATTTCATGTTGTATGCGTGTACGCACCTTCTTTTTGAACAAACAGTTGTGAGCGCAGCGCCTGTGTGTCTTTCCTCTTTTTTTTCTGTTTCATTTCTTCACGAAGTTCACGCTGCTATAAAAAATATGTTTCTACTTTCAAAGTCCAGCGTACAAGTTTCCCATCTGAAATTTTCACGCTGTTTGTGCAGAACAAGAATGTCAATTACTGTGAAAAAAGGCTAAAAATTAGAAGATCTTAAGGCTTCATTCACCTTTAGGAGTTGAACGAGATGGCGATATTCTGCTCTAAGTGCACGAAACCTTTTCGAACTTGCTATGCACCCACTACGCAACCTTAAAATAATAGGTGCAGTAACGTGTGTGTCTTTAGTAGTGGGTTAGTGTCTTTAAAATACGAAGCCATTATGATGACCACATGCTCTAACATCCACTGGCGATGGGTGCTTGTACAACACATTATTACTGCAATATTTCATGTTGCATTGCAAAGCATGTATAAAGGACCCGTGCGTTTGTAAAGCATGGCCAGCTACTTTCACTGCATTTGCGGGCAGAAGAAGTTATTTTCACTCTACTCAAAAGCAGACTCGCGGCCATGTGGTAGAACATCCGCTTGCCTTGCAGACGACCCTGATTCGGTAACCACTCTGATTCAGGATTTTTTTTTTTATTGTTTTCTTTCATTTGTATCATTCTCGATTTTTCCGCATCGCATAAGACGATTTTTTGCTCACAATCAACAATGCTGACGCCGGGATTTCTGCTGAACGAGCTATTTACCGATCTCGCGCTAATAAATAAAATAAATAAAAAATAAAGCTGAGGTCAACCTCATTTTGACGTACGTCACTGACATTGATTGACGTCAAAGCCGCACATGCTTTCTTTCATTTTACTTATCTTTAGATTAAAGTGCGTCGACGTTTAAACAATTAAATATATATGCACGCATCAAAATCTTCTGTCCAATATCACAGAAATATCTTACGGCAAAAAAAAAGGCCATTCTAAAAATTTCCGAACCTGCTCGCGGCAAATCTCTTTCACGGCTTTCCTTTTAACTCACTCGTGCAACTTCTGCAAATTATAATCACGCGTTATGTCGAAATACAGGAGTGACCCACCGACATTACGCAAATGAAACATCGCCGTTGTTTCCTCTTTGAAAGCCTCAGCATTCACCCCTGGCTGTAAAAAAAAAAAAACCTTCAAGGCAAAACTTCACGAATAGTGACGGGTATACGCTTTCCAAACAAAACTTGATTCTGACCCTCCAATTTCCATAGCTTTAAAGACAAAACTGTGCACAGAGCGCGTGGAAGCTTCTGTTTTATAATTTCGCAGACTGTCACGAGCAGTTTCGCCGCTTCAAATGCGCACACTGTAAAGCCCCTGTACGAAGTTCAGGGGTTTCAGCACACTGTACCTAACACCTTTGACACCCACAGTTAAGTGAGAGAGAGAGAAAGAGGGTGAGTTAGATGAATAGCGCTTTCTCCTCGCTTCAGCCTTTCTCTCGCTTAACTCCACATCCCAAATGTTACTTTTGCACGCTGAACGGTGCATCGCTAAAAGCGAAACTGACGTTGAACAAAGGTTATGTGCCCCAACAGGCAAAAACAACTTCCGACGTCCTCACTTCATTCTCTCAACACCGTCGCTCGCCGACGCTGAAATACTTTTCCGTTGAGCAGTCGCATCAACCAAGCTAGGAGCTATGTCGTAGTTCATATATACTGTACTGTCATTACTGGTTATGGTGCACAGTTAACGCATGGTTGGAGCAATCGTTACTACTCTCGAGGAGATATTTTCGTTTTTTTTTCTCTGTTTGAGTTAACGGGTCCATCATTTCAATCGGACAGCAAATGCGTTGCGGCATTAGCCCTTTATAGCTACAAATGCTGTGCGTAGAGATGCTCAGATAGAGACGCACATTCAGGCGAATTTGAAATCCCGTCCACCTTTCTAAATCCGTTTATGGACCTACGGGCACGCAGCCGGGCAACTCCACAACAAGCAAAAAGGCATCCACCGCGCAGCGCTCGAGATGAGCGAGAGAGGTTTAGAGCACCGGTGGAGAAACAGTGAATAAACTGACAAAGCATGAGTCGTTATACCCGCAACAGCAGATAACATTGCATTACAGAAAGAAAAGCGTGCGAATAATTATTTAATACTAATTAACCGGCGCGCTGCACTGCAACACATGAAGGAATGCCGGGTCGCGCAACAGATTAGCCGGCTATACACCGTGATTCGTATAGGGAATTAGCGCTAGAAGTCATAATCCGCAAATCTGTCCCAAGAAGTACATACAAAGCGTCGCGCCTTTTTCATCCGCGCGCGCCCGAAACTTTACACCTTTCTGCCGTTCCCCTTACGTTTAACTCTGCGTAGAAGAGCAAAGCGTTATATTTCATCGCCGAGGCACACTTCGACGTCTGGCTTATCCGGCGCAGCTCGAGGTGCCAGGCATTTACGCTGCCCACGCGCTATGTATGCATGCTCCGGTGGGGACGACACGTGGGCGCGACGACACTAGAGAGTTTTAGTACTGCGTACGCTGCATACGTGGCGGCGTGGCGTACGTAAGGACGCCACGTTCTGCGTAGTGCGCATGCGCAGACCGCAACGCGCACGTACCGCATTACGTGCGCAGCCGCTACGTACGCACGCATGAGATGCCTGCGTGCGTACGTATGAGGTGATCGCGCCGCTCTCGAACAAGTTCGCGACAGCGCGAGACTTCGTTTTGCAAAATGGCGGCATCGAAGGCAAGCACCGACCGTCTCTGTGGCTTAAAATATGGCCATAATCTGGCTATAACACTTGGATTGGCTCACATTGGCTTGTCAACAGCACGTGCTTCTATTTTGATATACCAGATGGCGCAACACGCTTCATGCTCGTTACGTACGCGGGTACTACGGAGTACAAAAAGCCGATTAGTGGCAAACGACGCCACGTAACGCAAGGCGCTTGCGTGATGCGTACGTAGCACCACTCTCTACTCTCTGGCGCGCCGTTCCGCCAAGTGGGTCTCGTCCAGCGACGATGACGCGTATATATACTCACTATCCGAAGCAGAAATAACCGAAGGCGAGCCCGACAGAGAGCGCCACGGCATGCCTCGTCGTCGGGGACACCCGAGCCGGATGCAGGAACACTCGGTACGGGAAGGAGAACAGCAGGAACGCAATTTGGCAGAACAGGAAGTTGAACTGCGAGGAAGTATACGTAACGATATGCACTTGTTCAATCAGTACAACACGATAGCTCTGTTTGCGTGCGATGCAAGATACCATGGTATTTCAGCGGCGCAGGCTTAATGTACGACGAGTACCGAAATACCGTATGCCATCGCAGTCATCGCGTAGATATTTTCAAGACCTCTCTCTATTAGCCACTTTGATAATACTAACACATTGCCTCATGTGATCAGCAAGTCGCATGCCTAAATATACAATATTAATTGTCTTTCTTTTACCCATTCGAAAACGGGGAATGGTCGACACTTGAGCAAAAGCTACAAAACTGCGCCTTGATTGCACCGTATAGGCCCAAGAGAAATACATTCAAGTGGCATACATGGCAGAAGAAATTAAACAACGCAGTAAACGAGCAAAAGTGATACACATTGCACATACACGAGTCAGATTTACACAAAAACAAGAGACCTATAATAACTTTTAGGTTCTTCTATATCGCAAACTTTGCAGTAAATGGTTGCTTAGATGCACTTGACTGAAATACATTTCATGAAAAAGCGGTTGAAGATATCAAAGTCAAGCGACCCTTCGACCCCCTTTTCACGAAATGTGTTCTGCGCCACAGGCAAGTGTAACTAAGCAATATAAACACCAACTTCGCCCAAATAGAAGTCCATTGGAATATATTTCGCAGTGAATCAAATCGGTCCTACGGAATACCGTGAGGTGCAGTTAGGGTTGTGAAAGCAAATTACTAACACCCACCCGTCCACTCGCCCCGGCAAGGCGTCTGTACCGGGTCCAATACCCCGACATGGAGGATGTTGTTGTCAGCTAGGAATCTTTTTTTTCTTTCTGGGATATCTGTTCTAATTTCATTGTAACGTCTGTGTTAAAAACAGGTGGCCGTCTATTCCCACTTTCATAGCCATGCAAGTAACGTGTGCGATGCGAGGCCAAGTTGTGCTCTTCCATCTTGTTGAACACTGCGGAGACGAGACACAAGACAGCGAAAAAAAAAATGAGTGCTATTTGTTCGCCTTCTGTACATACGAAGTCATGCGGGACTTCAAGAACAAAAGTCCTGCAAACCAGTGCCTTCCTAATAAGTCATGTCCACCCACCGAAGTGGGTGGACATAACTTTGCCTTTAATATCCCTGTACCTCTGTCCGAAATTGTCGCCCAAGCAATTGTCAGGCGGCTACAGCCTACCCAATACGCCAACGAATACCACCGATGCTGCACCGTGGCAGTAGAACGCGGTAGTTACGACAATATCTACTCAAGTTAGCCGTCTGCTTATGCGAGCTCCCACTTTGCATGACCAATGCCTTCTCACAGTTGTTGCCCTTTGAGCTACACGTGTGGCTCACCGCGAAATCTGAGCCCATGACAATGTACTGCGTAGGCTCAGTTGGTACATTTAGGCATTTTTTAACGTTGAACGCCCTATTGACGCTGAAGTGTGGTTCAGAAAAGGAACCAAAACGAAACGCATAGTGATCTCTGCATCCAGTTAGGTGAGTTTCACTGCAAGCCCATTATGCTTGCAGGGAAGAGAGCTTCTAGTCACCGAGTCGTCACGTTCGAAACAACAAAAAAACTATGAGCCAAGTCACTAAAACGATTCGCAGACGACTCCCGACCACATTGGAATCGTTAGACACGAAAATTCAATTTACCCGAGCTGCCGCACGAGCTGCACTGCGCAAGACTAGCGTTTTTGTGTTCAGAGTTCATTATACGACGCAAAGGTCACGTATGTTCACGGCAAGCAAGTACTTATTTCCCCAATCAAAAAGAAAAAAAATAAACACCATGCATGTGCACAGTTTCAGGGCCACTCGAAGAGGGCACTCTTATTATGCAAGTCGTTGTTTGCGCTGAGCGGTTCCCGTCGCACTGCATACGAGACTTTTGCAGCAATCAGGCGCGTGCTTAGCGTCGCCGCAGTGGCTCACTAAGCCACCGCAACAAAACTTTTCCGTCCAACGTGACAACTCGTTTGAAATCATCCGCATAATCATCAGTGTGAAGCGGCAGGCAGCTTGGTAGCATGTATGAAGTGAATATTTCTCTCTCTCTCTCTTTCTATAGGCGTGTGGTCGCAAATGCAGTTTCAAATATTGAATTAGTTTCTACATTATATGTTTTTTAGCTAATAGCACAGCGCTGCGTGTGTGTGCTTGTTTTCGTTTTTTTATCCCGTCTGGGCGCCCTCTTTTACGTTGAGCACGTACCATCTGTCAACAAGCAGAGTTGCAATTAAACTGACACTCTTAACTCGCTACTTAAGAGGTCGGAATGCGCTGACCGTCCGTAGCGACGCGCCCACAATGTGTCATGCAGAATATTAATGAACACGTTTTGCGAAATCGCCAATTGTCGAAACAGGATCCGCCGACGTGCGATGAATTAAGTACAGAAAGCGAAGCTTTTCAAGTGACACATGCGCCGGTATGACCGTTCAACGTAGCTTCTTAATTTTCATTTTGCCACCAGTTTTAAGAAGCCAAATGCACATGACGCACGTAAGAATGCTTAGAATGACCCATACACAGCTTCGACGCAGCAGCTCAAAACACGCTCGGGAATATGTGTACTTTCATTAAGCGCGGCTTGAAGAACCTTGAGCGCAAGAAAGCCGCTCATTTCAAAGCTGCTTTTGAGAATGCGAAGTCAACGCACGGGAACAGCTGTTAGAACGTTAGGCGTCAATCGCGGTGTCAGCTGCAACTTATAGCCGTGCAGTACATGTGCAAGTTAATGACTGACTTGCCTTGACTTGACTGAATGGCAGTTAACACGAGCCCGTTTGAGTGGTTCAACTACCGAGAAAAAAAATACAGTAGGAAAAAAAATAAACTATCCACACCACACGGGCTGGCTGAATTGTCGCTTTATTAGAAAAAAATGATGTGATGAAAAGGCAAAAACACCATGTTTACGCATACTTTAGATCAACCTTAACGACCTCTTGTCTGGTTTACCATCTCAATGCATCCTCCTTCCGTGCTCTCTGATTATTCGAGTTCTGTAATCATAATGCCGATCCTCGTCAAACGGGTCTCAGACGATCGCTCAAAGTTCATTCGAGGTGGGTGCTGTTTACGCGTTCAGTTTTCTTCAACGCATTGAACACGTCTTGTGCAACGACCCCATGTCGAAAGGTGCACTGACACCGCGGTACATCTACAGGGTCTTTATCAGTTCGGCAGCAACAACTTGCCATTGTGTTCGGTACACGTGCAAGCATCAGCCAACTCTCTCTGGCTCGGCGATGTCGGCACCAATAAAACAATGGAGGATAACAGCGCCGGGTCCTAAATGGAATACGTTATTCCCTGTCACGTATTATACGGGCAGCCGAGCTCTCTCTGGAAGATAAAACGAAAACTCTTGTCGAAATCGAAGCGCCACCGAAAACACCCTCGGTGCATTGATTCCTTGATTTTTTTCTTCTTTTTATTTGATACTTTACTTAATAAAAATCGGTGAAAACATACACAAAGTGCTAGTAGTCACAAAACACCCATTAAAAAGCACAGCTATACAGAGCAACCTTAATCACTACCTCGCTGCAGTAAAAATGACCTTTTCAGAGCACGAAATGCACGGGAGAAGTAAGAAGACTGTTTTTGCGAAGTTTATGTGCTAAGATAGACTAAATGGTGCACCGCACATACGTGCATAATCTTAAAATAGCGCCTGAAGCGCACCATATTTTCTCTAGATGCACCGCCCTGATTCTAGTAAAAACTGCAGAACACACGCTATACAAGCCTCTGAACTCCCGTCTCGGTAGAATAAACTACAGCGCGAGTATCGCGCACGTCCACGCACGAAAACATGTGGGTGTCAATTTGCTGGGCGTTTGCTGGCGGTTTATCGGACGCGCACGCGTTTATTACGCAAGTTGTTTTGCTGCGCGTATGCGTGCCAAGACCGGGCGAGGCTTTGTATACAAGTGTGCATCTTAACGTGTCGAATTAACTTCGAGGGAGGCAAAATACAACGTAGCAATGCAAATTAACGCGTGTGCAACACGTCACACGTGAATTCGCATGTTATTTTTGTTTTTTCCATGTTTTTTTCGCAACTCGGACATCGTGACTTTTTTTAACGCGGCGTTCAGCAATTCTCGACGACTCATGCACCGCAATAGCGAAACGTTCCGCCCCACCGGCCGTGGTTACCAAGCGTGTACGATCCGCGAGTATCGCAAGGTTAAAAGGGAACGCGAAAGACACGTCAGTCGCAGTAGCTCGCATACCTTGTCAATACTGAGTCCAAAATATGCAGCGACGGGCGCGAGCACCCGGCAGCCGACGTAAAAGTCCGACTCCGACCTGAGATCCATTGGCGCGGCTCAGGGCTTTCTGGGCGCATGGAGGGTTTCAAAAATAGCCTCGCCTCTCCTCGGCCCGCGCTGCTGACGAGTGCGTAGGCGACGCCGATGCTATGACCCGTCGCGTCGAGAGGCGGCAACACATGGTTGCAACCACGCGCACAAGCCGCGTTCTTGTTGACAGCGGCACACAGTAGAGAGAGCACAAGCACCGATGTCGCGATCACGGCGAAACACCCGGCACTGTCGTGCGGCCTCGTCGGAGCGCCAGCCTGGCTTCCGCGATTTTGCGCCGTCCCCGTCACCTCCTGCTTCCTGCGGACGTGCCCACCGACGGCGGCACGCTTGGGCGCAATACTGGTTTCCAGCGGCGCTTCGCGACGCTCTTCGCCGACGCCATTCCTGGCTGCGATCCCGCTTGATCGCCGCGCTTCGGGCGCTCCCACACGCCTGCGAAGCGTTTCGGTTTCGGTATAACCGGTTTTCTAAGCCACAAATCTCAAAGGCTACGTTTTTTTTTCTTTATAATGACGTCATGACCACAAATTTTTATGTTGTTGTTGAAAATGTAAAAAAAAAACAATATAATTGACGTTCTTTTATAATATTTAAATTTGTAACAAAAATTTCAAAACATAAAACTTTAAACAAATAAGCTTTGTTTAATTTTGTTTGTTTTTATATTGCCATAATATAGGCTTCAAATTAAATTGCGTTAACTACATGATTAAAAACACAGCGCAAACAACGGCAGGAAGAAAGGAAGAGACAGGACAGAGTTGTTTGCGCTGTGTTTTTAATCATGTATTTGAACCAACTCGCCCAAGCTTTAACCTTTGCGTTAACTAGCTAACTGCCTACAAATATTTTTATACAGTTTCGGTTTCGTTCTTTGCGCAGTGCGGGTGGTGGGCTGCGGAGAATATCACTGAGGCAGCTCCTTTGTTGTTCAAAGAAGAAAAAGCCGGCTGCCTATAGGCTGGGTGTTGGTTAACCTCCCTGCCGTTCTTTCCTCCAATTTCCTTTTCCTGAACGCCACTAGGTCTGAGATTTGGGGGCGCCTTTGAAGCTTTACAAGTCGTATTTGGCAGTTTAACCGAAACACCGTCCACTCACCACTGCGCATAGATGTAGCGTCTCATGCCAGTGCAAATTACAACATTGAGTTCATATTTTTTTGTAAGCTCGTTTTGTCAGAGCTCGTTGAAATTGACTGCAAAACGATGACGAAGCTAAGTAGACGCACCATCACGCTCCTCATACTCGGCAGATGCACCTGGCATCGCAGTAGACGTTTTAAAACGTTAAATGTTTCTCACTTAATACTGCACTAATGTTTCCATAAATAGATAATACATATTTTCGATGGCGAAACAAGCATCTTTGTTTTCGAGCATAGCTCAATCTTGAATGCAATGGCAGAGCAATGCATACCGTGGTGGGTAAATTTGTCCAGATTTCATTTCTACCTCAATGGTCACAAAAAAATTTTGCAGAAAATTAAATGCATACAAAAGAATGAAGCAGTTTTTAATTAAATATAACTTCATATCATTTTGTTTTACAATCGGTAAACAAACGTTGTGAATTTTAAGAACGTAATCAATTTGAAGAAGATCGGAGTCTGTACTTTCCATAATTCGGATTAATTCCTGTGAAATAACTGGTCACGCCATACAAAGAAACAAGACTATATTTACATTATTTACACATAGCAATTGACCATTTGCGGAAAAGTGAGCGCCCCCTGTCGTGTAAACAGGAAAGCTTCGCTTTTGGTTGGAAAACATCTTCGTCAACTAACACGCTCAATGCAGTGCTTAGCGGTTTAAATGCGCTTGTTTTGTTGCTTTAGGACCAAAAACGCATGCCCGTTACTGAAACAAGAAGGTAAAGGAGAAAAACATTCTGTTGACGTTTGTATACACGGTGTAAAACAAGAATTTCTCGCGTTTCAGCCTGAGAAATAACCAAGTGAGGTGATACCTGCACTCCGCTACCTCGACGGTTCGCCAGGCTCATTACACCTGCTCTTTTAAGAAGAACATTATGTTATACACTTGAAGTTGAACCTTAAAATGTCTGTCGATTAACTATAGGTTCAGTGAGGACGGCTTGTGCACCGTCTGTGAGGTACGGTGTTTGCGTGAAAACGGCAGTGTTCGCCGTTACTACGGGTCATATTGATGGAACGCCAGGCTGATGTTTTCCAACCAAAACCAAAACGCCTGTACAGGAACGCTACCTGTGCGGTTACTGCTTATGCGCAGTGGTTTTCCCGCAAATGGTCAATTGGAACAGTCAATGACGGACGCTTTCTTATTTCTCTTCTTTCTTCAAGTTTCACGCGTTCTTTTCGACGGCTTCTTTCTCTTCATCTTCTCAACGAAAGGTAAATATTCAACATCCTCCGCCCACCGCAAAGTCGCGCCCTTTGAGTTCATTCCATCGAAGACAGTCCTATCAGGTACAGAATCTGGATAGGTCGTCATAGCCTCATATTCCTCAGCAAACTCCGGATTGTTCTTGATTTTCTGTCCCGGACACTTCAGTCGCTTCATTGCTTGCATTCGGTTGCCATCTAGCTGTCCCCAACATTTTTTCCAAGGAAGCGCGACTTGATAGCGACCATTGAAGAAGGTAACGTCCTGTTCAAATCTTTCTTTTACCATATTCTTTTCTTTGGTTGGAGTGTTGTCGGCTGGCATAAACCCGATGCTCTCCAAGTCTCTGAACCTCCACAGAATCTCGTCAGTAGAGGCAGTCGTACTTAGTCGAAAGACGCATACGTTGAGAGCTGATTTCAAAGGGGTGTCAAAAGAAAGTGGTCCTTGCAACATCCATCCAAAAGCAGAACCCATAGCCACCAAGCTTTTCTGTCCATTATACCGCTTCGTCTCTCCCGACATAAATTACCCAAGCTGATCAGCACCGATCAAAAGGCTGATTCATGGAACTGAAGCCTTGCTCGGTATCACCAATTTATCAGCAAGGAGACGATCGCCGATTTCAATGTCTCTGACAAAGGCGTGGTCGCCTGGTACTTGCACAACATCCTTGCAGTCGAATGGTACTACTATGGCGGTTAACAGGTACTTCTAAATGTCATACTGACTGTGAAGTTTTAGTTCGATGACACGATGTTGTCTCGGAACGAAACTTGCCTGTCCTAATACATTTAGCTGTAGATTGACCGATCCAAGTTCTTTCAATCCAAGCGTCTTGGATACATCTTCACGAATAAATGTACTCTGGCTTCCGCTGTCCCCAATGCCACGAATATAGGCCCTTTGCGTTTTCCCTATAACCCATTTCCTAAATGACGTCTTTTCGGCGGCTTCTTTCTCTTCATCTTCTCAACGAAAGGTAAATATTCAATAATTCCCATTTATTTCCCTAAATTAGGAAACTCAATGATAATTACCATGGGTATCCATGGCAGTACAAGCGCCGTTGAAGCATAGCTGAAGTTATGCATGAAACTCTATGTTATGAAGCATGAGTTTCCTATGCTGCGGGACTATGACAACATTACAATCGACGTATCACGTTGTTCAGTGGACGACAGCGGTGATAGTTGAGTCGTCGGCGTACGCCGGGTAAAATCATCGGTGGTGGCGCACGACCACTTTTCATTGGTGGTGGCGGCGCCGGCGGCGTGGAAACCGAAACATCAAGTCTAAAACGATGACGTACTATATGAGATTACTAGAAGAGAATTGGCAAGCGTTTTCTAAATGCTTTGTGTTTAAGCATGCATATTGAAATTTCGAGAAGAATAAAAAATGGGCCGAGGGGGACACTTATTTCAGTATATCATTATTTTTGGGGAAGTTTTGACCACCCGGATAGCGTTCGCCAAATTGCGATTACACCGTCTGGGATCAAACACACGTCAGAACATCGTGCCACTGTGGTACGTATGTTGAATGTATGTTTGCTGCTTCCACAAATGTGCCGCGTTCTTTTTTTTTTCTTTTTGGTACCGCGTTTGAATACGTTTCACATGATTCATGGCGGTAAGCTGCTGACATATCATTTTGAAGAACGACGAACCCAGCCTTTAAGTGCGCGCGCACACAACAGGATTCAACACGCAAGCTTGGACTAGCAGCTCTTTAATGAAGCAACACGGTTAGAAAGAAAAGCTAAGACGCACATGCGCTACACGTGATGCAGCTAGTACAGATGAAAACACTGCGCTTGAGACAATCCGATACTAATTGATTACCAACACGTGCCCATGCACCGTAAAAACCATAAAGATTTAACGCAGGGCATGATACATTCTAAATTACATTTCTGTAAAAAGATGATCAGCCTCTTTTCGTGATAACGCTGTGAAAGGTACACGATCAGGACCATGTTATTTTCCTTGCATTTTATAAACTTCAGTCAATTCCCTCTGGCATTTGATATCCTTTTATCAGTTGCCTCTCGAATTTATTTAATTTATGGCTATAATTAAAATCGGGCGAGCAACCGGCCGCACACTCTGCAGCCGAGCAGACGAGTCTCTTCCCGCTGATGTGACCGACGTTTCATGTTCTTTGAGCGTCCCGCCTGTCCTATATATCAATGCCGCGACAAAATATCAATGCCGCGTGCACCCTTTGACTAAAGACCGAGGGATCACAAATATGTCTTTTTTATTATTTCGAAAAGCATCGCAACTTTCACGTTTAATCTTATTTCTCAATTCTTTTTTTATGAGACCCTGACTTGAAATCTGGGGCGCTGCTACAGCCTTTGCAGCGCAGACGTACATAAGTTCCGAAATTTTCTTGTCATGTGGCCGTGTATACAAAGATCAAAAGGGCCGTTCCATATATGGCCGATGAGCTTCAATGACAGGCTGCGTGAACACTGCATTCTACTCCCTACAGGTACTGGTGGAGACTCACCGCTTCACTGCAAAGGCTCTGCATCCTTGACTTCAAATCATCATTGGCAAGGAAATGAAAAATAAGCTTGAACGTAAAGCATTTAAAGCCTTTAAAATAAAACAAAACATGGCAAAGCGTCATGTGTTAATCATACATCAGTTTTCCTTACAGATAAAGAATTCGAGTTGCTACATACTACATAGTGATTGCATGGCATGACGTCAATATTTTGTTGTTTCATGAAAATATGCACCTTAACACCTGTGCACTGTTAGTGTGCGACTGTAAAGTGGCTCAGATAGGCTATAGTCGCGGCCGCTCGATCGAGATGGAGCGGCCGTGGCCTATTTATGCACGCGTTGCTGGGTGCTGTGTGGGTGGGCTTTCTGAAAAAAAAAAAAAAAAAACCATTGTGCTTTGAAGTCTAGATCTTGTTCTGTGTGGTTGTTCTCCTTTGCAGAGGCTTGTTTCTAACCGGTGGGGGTGACGGCCCCCACTGCTCCCCCCCCTCCCCCCGTTCCTGGGCCCCTGCTCCTTTGCTGTCTTCGTGTCTTTCGTTGGTTTACTCTTCCGAATATTATGAAGCCACTCGCACAGCAAGCTGTGTTAGTGATGCTCTGTTTCAAACACCATTGTAACAAATCGTCATCTAAATCTAGTTAGTCGAATTCAGATAGAGATAGAAAACAGGCGAAGTAAGACGCAGATTACTCAGTTTGAATGTCTGGCGAATGCACGACAAAGCGGAGAAAACACAAGACATTACACTCCCACACTTCAGTGTTTTGTCCGGATGCATACATGTTCTGTGCAGTACTTCACACGAAGTTTATTGTGGTGCCAATCTCGCCCAATAGTCGACCTTGCTGATCCTGCCGACTGATCGTTTATATGATAGAGCATATTTCATATGTTGTCTTTGTCTCTCTCTCTTTTTTTTCTTCATAAAGGGCTGTGTACCAATTTTAAATATGTATGCCGCAAATAGCTCCTTTTGCTCGCTTAGACTGCTGAGCAATATATGCAATTGCTTCCATACGCATAGAAGTGCTTCTACAATAACTAGCGACGATATTGCCCTTTGAACTGTAACTGTTCCTTCGCTCGCTTTGACAGTCGTATTGATTGTTATTCTAATACCGACTTTCCACAGCCTTTTATTCATACATATTGTGTGAAATGGAGTAGACTCGATCGTCATATATGTTGGTCTGTATTCGCTTAACTACAGTGAGCTTGAAAGTAGCTTAATATTAACGTTTATTTTGAGTCCAACACTACGTTTCTACGTTATTAGGAGCACGTGTTCAGTACAGAACAAGTTCTTCTGATTCAAATATTTAACTGTAACCGGCAGGCAAATAGATTGCGATGCGTTTGCTAAAGGGTAGTATTAAGAAAGGATTGACAATTTACTGATGACAGAATAAACTGCTTAATAAAGGCGGATTTACTAAAAAAAAAATAATCGTACATAAACAACGCGCTGAAAGAACACATAGGCAGCGGCGGCGCGCCGATCAGTTGGTGTCAACAATAACAACGCAGCGAAAATTGTCGACGGCGGCGCGCCAACATCTCGGCGCTCACCCAAGCGCACCTTTAGTGGTAGTAGTAGTAGTAGTAAGTGTAACACTTACTACTTCGGAGGCATAAAAAAAATGCCATGAATATAGGCTTCGGAGGCATAAAAAAAAAAAAAAATGCCATGAATATAGCTTGCCAAGTGATGTGGTGGCCAAAATCGGTACGATGGCATCGTACTCAACGGCAAAGGACGATACTCTGCAGACATTATCGAAGAACTGTGTGTACAGCAGGACTGATTGTTTGTGTGTACCATCATTGATTATAATTGTTTTGCCCTACGCCTTCTGCTGGAATTGCTAAAAGATGGTTCTGTTTTCATTCGCTAATGTGGATGATTGTTCTTTTAGAAGTGCGCTGAATTCTCTTTTGTACATTATGTGCATAAAATGCTATTTTGGATTGTTTCGTTCATTTTGTGCTCATTTGCGTTCATAATTTTGTGTTCATCTGTCTGGCCTTGCACGTGCTACTGCATATGGCAACAAAAAAAAAACAATATAGAAATGCTTCGTGTAAGGCTATAAAACAGGCACTGAAAATTCTATACTTTATTAAAGAAGTTTTTTGTAACGAAGCAATTTTTGTTTCTTTTATTTTTTACACTTGTATATCGAACAGAATTTCAGTTTCCATTAGGCCTTTGGTTACGCCCATTAATTTCATTTTTAACAGGTTTACAGAGCATTGATGCATTCGGAGCTCGTCGTTTCTGAGCGGGCAAGCCTTTACGCATTGCGAAAACTACGCCAGCCATAAATTATTGCAGTTTAACTATAGGAGCACATTTATTATTCGTGCAGACATGTTCTGCGTAGTTGCCTCCAAGACAACATAACTTGAGAGCTGCGTTTCATCTTTTCAGATAAAACAGCTGTCAATGAATGCTTTGTATATTCAGAATGCGTTAAAGAAGCGCTTTAAAGATATTTTGCTACTTTTAGCTCCTTGTTGGATTTTTTGGCTGCTTCTAGCTACCTTCACGTTGCCATCTAGCTATTTTTGCTGGCCGACATTTGGCAACACTGTAAGTGTTGTTTGATAACTAGAGACATGGCTGACACCCGCGCAGCGTACGTGCCATGGTATGTGATAAAGTTGACTGAATTGTGTGTTTTACGTTGTTTAACAAGCTGGGCGCTTCGTGTGTCATTTGTTGAGATGCACCTTCGTAGACCAACTATATTCCTTACCATTAGTGCACTTGCATTCAGACACTTACCCGGTAGTTCAACTTGTTTGTGCAGCCTCTCGTTCTGTTGTGTGAAACCCCTCGCGCGTTTTTTTTTTTTTTTTTGTAGCTATGACAAAAAAAAAAAACAAAAAAATTTGATATTTCCTGCTAGTTTTTTGTTAACCTGAAACTATTTCTAACCTTTGTTCGACTGCTGCTGTTGCCGGGTGCATGTAACAGCACATTGTTTTGGTTTGGAGTGACAACATATACACGTATGGTCTATTTCTTTGTTGTTGTTGTTTATTTCGTTTATATGTTTTGTTATTGTTTTTAGGTGGAAGTTGGAAGACGGTTCAGAGTTAGGTAAGCATCTCTTGGCTTGACTCAAGAAAGACATTAGATGGCAGTGGTATTGCATGGCATTCTCCCTTTGTTACACTGAGTCAGAGGATGTGTACGTTCAGTTTATTCTTGGCTAATTGTTCAAAGCTTCAGGAAAACGTCTTGCTGGTCAAGTAGACCCTTGATCAAAGACATTTTTGTAGCGCCTAAACACAATTACAGAAGTGTTACAAAAGCGCTACAAAAATGTGTACTGTTCAAGCTTCACCACAATACACATGCTGTTGCGGCTGTGGTGGGCTGCGGAGCACTAAGTCTCATGTTTGATTCCCTGTCGTGGTGACTTCACTCAGATGCTCGTGGAGTTCCTAGTGATTAGATTAATGTAATTCAGCAACTCTTCAAAATATTCATAGGTCAGTGACAGCCTTACTTTCTCCTACTTTACCAACCCTATCTTGTAGACCTCTTTAACAGAGAGGAGGATCCCCCCCCCCCCCCTTTCTGGGCTGTTGCACAGGGGTACAAAAGCTGAAGTCACAGCTTTGGCCCTGCATTTTTGGGGCTCCCCCATGTTAACAACAGCCCAGAAGGGCTTATGGTGGCTCCCAGGGAACCTTCGTTGACAAGGTGTATAGACGTCAGACTCTGGAGTTTCGCAGACACGTAGCGCTACCTCTCGGCCCAGTTTCGGGTAGTACAAAACTCGACTCCCTTGCACAGTTTCAGTGGGCAACCAGCTGCAACTAGAGCGTGCCAAACAATGATTGAGCTATATATTAGGTGTGTTCGCACATTGAACACTAAAAAAAAGAGAGCTACAAATGTCTCTCCACTAGTCGGACACGTAACTGAACTGCCATGAAGTGCTTGCTGAATTGCTCGGTAAAACGGCGGAGAAAACTAGAGCAAACGCAATGGCTCTGCACTGTACCAAGAAAGAGCTCATTCGACATTACTCTTGTTTCGTGAATTGCCACGAACGTAAAGGGCTTCAGTTTTACCGATTCCATAGCTTTCACCAAGCAGAACAGTGAGAGTGCTGGATACGGCCCGTTGTGAACATGTGGGGTAAGCTAATTACTCATGTCTAAGCCGGTCGCATGATACTGTGTGATAATGTAAGTCTCCTGTTATTTTTTTTTTTCAGTAGCTTTGAAGGAGAACCATGCTAAATTTGATTATGAAGTTCAACATGGTCTCTGACTGCGGTGTGCGCCGCACAGCAGTAGACGTGTGACGCGCGCGATGAACGCCACACATGCCATGACCACCAATAATTTGATAAGGCTCTGAGTTCCGGCTTTAACTAGCGAATGCGAACATGGACGTCATACAGGTAAATCTCAGCATTTTGGTCATGACGACATGCGGTTTTTTTTCTTGCCGTCGGTCTCTGCGATTGCTGGAGCTATCTTGGAGGTTTCGGTTTCGCCTTTCATGGTACAGCGAGAAAGTGGAGACGCATGCATCCTCATTTGCAGTATATAAATATGAAAGAAATTCGTCAACAGAATATTCTAGGATGTGTAATAAAGCAATTCGACACAGAGGAAGCGGGAAATGACTGGAGAATGTAAATGGAAAGCCAAAAATCATTGGGGCCATTCGTGCCAGATAGAGCAAGCTTTGTACCTTCATCATAAAATATATTGCTCACTGTATGTACTTCATCGCTTTGGCATCTTGCGTATGCCCAAATTTAATGCATTTAGGCGTTGCAGAATGCATGTCGGAGTGCTTGCCTTGAACTCAATTTCATGCGATGCTCGCTTGCACTTGAATTGCGAGCTGCAGCACGCTGAAATAACTGAAGCACCTTTTGCATTGTACCCATAGTTGACTTTAGTGAGCTTCCTACTTTTCTAAAGCAAAGTAGGATTGACGGAAGAAGCTTGCCAGGTCCTTGATTTCCAGGAAACCACACACACGATGAAAGAGGAGGGCCTGTGTACGTTAGCTTGCATTCGGCTTTCTTTGCACGGCCCAGTTATGGCCGATGCTGTGATGAGAGTGCTGGTGGTGGTGTTTTTCACAGTGCTGTCTGGGCAGAGTCTGACGTCTATGCATGCAGGGAACGTGTGACATTGTCATACACCGTCTTGTCTTTCTCAAAGTTTTCTCCATTTCACTGTACTGGCAGTAAAACGAAATGGCAACCTCTCTGATACTGTCACTGTAATTTTTGCCTAGTGACACTTCCATACATACATTCAGTGAAAACATTGCAGTTTCTGTAAAGCAAACTTTACAGACAATTGCACTGAAATTGTATGCCAGCAATGGCACGTAGTAATATTTGTCTCAGTTTACTTGCTCCAGCACTTTTCATAGCTTGCTTGCATTTGTGCAAATTTTTTGCTATGTTATCTGGTAGACGGAAACTTTGCTTTCTCCCTACCCAGCCAAGCTTTGTCTTATTTTATGGAATTGCAAGTGAGCATTTGATGCTTTATTTCACTTTGTCAGAATTTTTTCTTTGTGATTGGAAATACAGACACATGACCTGCTATGTATTTGCACATGGCCTGTATTTCGGTGGCCAATCGCCAGTTGTAAGGTATCAAATCAAGCATGGCCTCAAGGGCATGTGTCTCCACCGACGCCGCCACTGGGGTCATGTCACCCGCAAACCATCAGACTTTGCAGGACACATTTGCGTCCACATGTCAAGCATCTGTATCAGTGGTACATGTGTCTTGAAACCTTCGTGCACATATTCCACCTCTTGTTTCACCTGCAATAGTGTAAGGACGAGCAATCGTAACACCTGCTTATACATTCCGATCGCCTTTACACGCTATGTGTAAGTGAAACGTCACATAATGAGGTGTCTCATTTCAAGGGCAATGAGACAGTATGTGCAATTGCGGATAGTTGGTGCCCCACGTCTACATGTCACCCATAGGGATTTCAGATGCAGATGTCAGCATATGAACTGGTACCCTCTGAGAAGTTTGTCAGGGACACTAATGAGTGCTTGGGTACGAATTGGCACAAGGCAAGAAAATTACCAAGGTTACGAGATCCCGTGGTTGGTCATGTGCTCATATGCCTTATAAAGTGGCGAACATGTGCGTTTTCTGCAGATACTCTGCAGATGTTTAAAAAATGACCTTTTGGCAATGGTGGCCAGATCTTTAGGAAACACTGCCCCCAACTTGAAGTTTGTGCTCAAGTTTACAAGGAACTCAAAGCAGGATCTACTGGATTGCTTGAACAGGCGAGGATGCTTCAACTGGTTCTACAAGGATATTAGTTGCCTTCTCCGAAGATGGGTCTCGAGACTTCAGAGGAGTTCCCCATTGTTGATGTTTTCATTATTGTATTGTGTTAGTGTGGTGAGCTGTCCTGTGGATTCAAGGTTGCGGAGGATACCTACATTTTCAGTGATCCTGCTATTGTGTTGTGTTTGTGTGGTGAGCAGCCGTGTGGACTCAAGATTCCAGTGGAGGCCAGCATTCTCCCGACACTACAGTTGTGTGTTTGTGTGGTGAGCAGTTCTGTGGACCTTTCTGAGCCTCCATGAAAAGTTACTCCCTTGCATTGAGATTCGCTGCAATCTCTTCACCCTATGGTAGGACTGCCAACAGAGTGAGTAGATATTACTTATATCTTTTAATGCATGTAATGTTTTGGAAGAACTGCACGTCGTATCTTGGTGCTCTTTCAGTCATCTGCGTTGACTGATTACAAGGATAGTGTCGTTTAGCACAAGAGTAAAAAAAAATGTTCTTTGTGGTTGACATTCGTACCCCTTCCTCAAGGTGATTGTTATTTTAAAATATTGTTTTATTTTGTTGAGAGAGTGTTACATAGCTGAGAATGGCTTGTCAGAAGCTCTTTCCAGTGGTGCACACAGTATGCACTTTGATTACTATAGGTGTTCATCACTTTGATCAACACAATTTGCTGACAAATGGTGTTGATGCTCAGTCAACTATGCCAACACATTTTTTCCTCTTAGGAATCTGTAGATTCATTCTTGTAACATGCGTAGTGTCTGTGCTTTATGCATGTGAACCCCATCGCAGTTTTCTAAAGACTGTGCTGGCTTGGCCAGGGCTGCCAGTCACAATTTGCTTGTCACGATTTTCTTTGTAGCTTGCGGACTTATTCTGGTTGCATGCATAGTCTCTGCTCACATGAACACCATTGCAGTCTATGAAATATTGTGGCGACTTTGCGAGGGCTTTCAGTCATGATTTGCTTGCACTTCTGCGTACTGCCGCAAGCAAATGCATCAAGTTCCCAGTCGCGCAGTCAGTTTCACGGCTCTTGTGCGGCACCTTTGTTGTGAATTGGAGGTTTAGTTGTGCTAGCTGCGAGCTGTTTGAACGAGCGTCATCGAGCCTTTCTCTAGTTCAAGCATTTTTTATCACACTTACTCAAATACCATAGGCTCTGTGTGTTCTGAACCATAAATATCAGCTCTAAAGGTCGTCCAGTTTCTGCATATCTCCCACAAAGTAAAAAAGTCATTTTGCGAGCAAGCAATGCATGGGCTTGGGAATGCTTGGGAATGCATGTGGTGAAATGAACCAGTGCAGGTGAGTTTATCACCACTGCTTATGCTAATATATTTATTCTCTGAATCTTCTAAATAGATATTACAGGCAGTTATCGAGGCTTTATATACCACCAAAATTGAAGTTAAAAGTAAACTCTATTGACAGCAATGTCTGGCTGGATAGAATTATAAGAATAAACAGACTCTCTAGTTTATAAAATTAAAAATTAAACACTAAATGTGACTGGGGAGCAAGTTTCTTCTTATAAACTGAAGTTACTGTGGTGCATATTTAATTAGCAGAAGCTGCCTTACAGGGTGCAATAGAACAAATTGAGGTATGTGTAGTAACTAACCGTATCTGTCTTGTTTTATTCGCATTCTGCAGGGCATGAACAATTCAATTTCGGTATTGTTTTCTCATAGCTGAAGCTGGCGTATATATATATGTTTTATTATGATGTTGGCTTCGAGGACATAGCGTGGCACCACCTATGTCGTGATGTGACAG